TGATTTACAACTGGAAGGGAGCAAGAAAAATAAATAAATAAATTTAAGACCACATTTTCTTTCTCTTGATTGTTTTGCAAAATAAATGCATTTTTTTTTTGAAACATCACTGATTAGTTGAATTTTTMAACCTTATTTTTCTCTGATTCCATCTTTTCTCTTTCCACTTCCAATTTTCTGGAGCGAAGAAATGTTGAGATATATTTAATTAGTAGAAATGTCAGTAACAGGTCAGTCTTATACAACAGAAAGTACTCTAGCTACTTTAGGAAATAATAATAATATACTTTTGGAAGGTGATGTTTAACAACATAAATCATAAGAACTAGGCCTCAATGAAGAGCACTTCCAGTTCCCAGAATAACATCTCTAATACTGTTGTCTCAAATGCTTCCACCATTGCCTCAAGTAATGTAGACTGCAAAATCATTTGCTCAGCTTGTCTACAGAACAAATTAAATGTCTTGCATTATGTCTTTCTCCTGGCTTAGTTCAGTTTATAATTAAGAATGATGAGGGCAACTGAGAAAAAAAAAAAAAAAAGATTTGAATCACCCTCTACTCTYAACCTGATCACAAGTTGACAATGAAAATGTAATTTTTAGTTTTCCAAAACTCTACCATAAGATAGATGAAGAGGACATTGGGGTGGGGGCAGGGAGATGGCTGGATCAAACAAACTGTGCTTTCTATCATATTTTGCAGTTTCTATCATATTTTTGGAGAGTGAAGCATTGTGGACATTTTCTACTCTTCTACTCTTATCTCATACCCATAGAAAGTGAACTCTTCCCATTCCACTAATCTCTCTTCCATTTTCACAGTTTCTCTATTGTCCCACTCTCTTTTTTCCCCTTTATTTTGTTTTAGCTTCTAATAAACCATTAGACCATTGACTTTGGATCTGGCTTATTTCACTTGATATGATGTTCTCCAGTTCCATCTAGTTACCAGCAAGTGCCATAATTTCGCTCTTTATAACTGAGTCAGTGTCTCTCTCTCTCTCTCTCTCTCTCTCTATCTCTCTCTCTCTGTGTGTGTGTGTGTGTGTGTGTGTGTGTGTGTTTACTTCATCCATTCATTTGTCCACTGGCATCTGAGCATCTGGGCTGCTTCAATAACTTGGCTATTGTGAATTGTGCTGCTATAAACATTGGTATGCCTATAYCACTGTAGTATGCTGATTTTAGTTCTTTTGGATAAAAACTGAAAAGCAGCATAGCTGGGTCATATGGTAATTCCACTCCTAGTCTTTTGAAAAATTGTACATTGCTTTCCATAGTGTTTGTACTAATACGCAGTCCTACCCAAAATACATGTRTAATTTTTCCCCACATCTTCACCAGCTTTTATTATGTGTATTCTTGATGATTGTCATTCTGATTAAAGTTAGATGAAATCTCAACCTACTTTTGATATGCTTTTTCCTGATTGCTAGAGATGTTGAACATTTTTTTTTCACATATTTGTTGGCTATTTGTATTTCTCTGAGCAGTTATTTTTTAAAAAATAAACTTTTTAGCAAGTTACTCCTTACAAAGTTATTTTTATCATTTGGCTACTGCTTGAGAACATTTAGACATATAATAATTCCACATGGAATGAAAGATTTTTTATTTAATTGATTTTATTAAAGTTTCCTTTTTTGTAGAAAGGTCCACCTTCATAGGTCCAATTATTATAGAATGAAAGTATGCTCTTCAATTTTTAGTGCTTTATGATAACTAGAAGATAATTTTTGTGTACCTTTAGATGTAATTTTAAAAATCCTATGCTGAACTAGCATTTTAATGTTTTTACCAGGATTTATTTGCTTTTAGTAGAATGTAGTWTTTCTTCACATCAAAGGACATTGTTTTATTGAGGTACAGATTTATTTATTCCATTGATAAAGAGTTTCCTATAATTTTTGCACTTYCATTCATTCATTTCAATTTTCATGCCTTACCATTTCCTAGTGATGGGGGTGACTATGGGGAAGTTTTATCTAATTTACAAGATTGATTTACATAGGATTTACAAGCAAAACTCAAAAGAAATATGAAAACCTGCAGAATCTTAAGTTAACTCATTGGTAAAGTAAAATATAGAAATAACTGAAAAATAATATTGTTTAATAAAACAAAATCCATTCTCAAATGTTTAATTTCTAACCAATGTTCTGTTTATTCTTTATTTTAGCCTTGATGTCTAAGCCACACTGTCAACAGGATGACATATGTTCTCAGATATAGAGTATGGAGATCTTTTATGAGGAGGTCCTTAAGAAACTTGTGATGACTATTAATACATTCATTTTTCAAGTGCTGTTCCTATCTCTTTCTCTCCTATTTCTCTATATTTTTTTAAAGTTAGAATACATTGGTTTTGCTTAGCATTTGTTAAGTGTCATCTAATTGTAAAAGATAATACAAAAATTGGTAAATTATTTTTTGCACTTCAAATTTTTAAAATTTAGTTATAATTATTTTTACATGCATATTAATCACTAACATTGACAAAATTTTAATTTGAAACAAGAACAAAAGTTTACACTTTTCTACAAAAGTGTAGTATATATAATATACTACCATATGATACACAGATGTAACAGGAACTCTTATTTGTATCCAATTCTGCCACTGCCTTTTCTAGGAGCACCAGTGAAGTTATGGGGGCWAATATTTTTCCAGAGTAAATACTACTTCTCCAAGTCTCCCTATCAACAATTTGCTACCAAGTGTCTCATTTCCAGCAATGCAATCATAGAAATGATGTGTATACTTGGGTCTTATCTTTCAATGGAAGGAAGCATTCCTCTCCATTTTATTTCTCTTTCAGAATATAGATTTGGAGTGATTTCTCTCATAGCATATAAATGAATTCAACTCTTTAAAAACACTGAAAATCCAGACAAAGAACTTAAGTTTCTGATGACTATTAAAGCAGAACTATCATAGAAACAGAAATTTATTTTTAAAAAGCTTGCTTTGATAATACATCATTGCTGTATATATTCCAATTAAGAAAATTGAATTTTACTTCAGATCTCAGCCTTTGATTATTTTCTTAGTTAGTCACTTACATATAATCCAAATTTTTTTCATATTATACCTTCATTTATTCTGATATTAGCAACAAACATGCAAAAATAATTAATAAGAGAACAATCAACTTTTATGTGTGTACCTCATCAACATTTAATTAAATGCTATATAATTTACTAATAGTGTCTGAGTGTTTGAAATTTCTCTTGGAAGCCAACTTTAATGTATAAATACTACTATTATATACAAGACACAAACACAACCTATTGACATATATATGGGCTCTGAAATAAAAGGACTTTGTTGAAAATGTATGGTCACATGATTCACAGAATTCTGGAGCTATTATTATGAAACAATTTTACATATCCTAATTTCCTTATGTTTAAAATTTCCAATAATTTTAAACTTCTAACTATAATAAATATTATCCAGCTGAGGGAAAATATTTAGTATGCTAGAATATAATACTAGTTACCAACACTGGTCATATAATAACCTGTGACACATTGAAGGTTCTTTGAAACTGAATTTAGAATGTCATTCTCCCCCACTGAACCGGGTTTGAGTTTCTTTTCTTTTGCAGTTTGTGATTTTATCAGGGGCCTCCTGATGGTTGGAAAGATCAAATAAATACTGAAGAGGTAGTACGTCATCCCCCAAACAGTGCTAGACTAGAAGTAGGAATATGAATATTTAATTTTGATTCTGTCCCTAGTTAGCAAAACATTTAACAGTCTAAGTATTATTATTATTATTATTATTATTATTATTATTATTATTACTAGTAGTAGTAGTAGTTATAGTAGTAGTAATAGAACTGGGGATTGAACCCAGGGGCTCTCTACCACTGAGCCACACCCCCACCCCCAACTCCTTTTAAAATTTTTAAATTTTGAGAAAGGGTCTTGACCTCATTAAATTGTTAAAGGTGGCCTTGAAATTGTCATCATCCTGAGTCAGCGTCTCAAGCCCCCAGGATTATAGATGTGCTCTAGGGCATCTGGCTGAKCATTGTTATCTCTTTAAAAGATCTTAGAGAAGATGATGTTCATAATTTCTCTTTCTCTATATAGTTACATATTGTAAGTTAAGTATATTGTATATGAATGTACTAAACTATATATATAATTTTTTTATGGTTGGCACTTTAAAAAGAAATCTATGTGTAGCCAGAAAAATATGTAGGTGGTAATTATTTTATGGAGCTATACTGACATCCTTTGGTAAGGTTTTGGTTGATTATAATTTAATATAGTGAAAGATAAATAGGGAGTCAAACAATTAYATGGCTGATAAGTAGATAAAAACCTTCAAATCCATTTAAATCTGTCTATAGACTAATTTGTGTATGAAATTCATATTTATGATAAATAAAAATCAAGACAAAAAGAAACTAGATCAAGTCTAAAATCTAAATATTTTGATAATACTAACTACATATTAATTATTAATAAAACATTTTATCTCTAAAATATTGAAGTACACAGCTGGTAAAATTAAGCAGATAAAACTTCCAAATTATGAGCACGGTATTTTCTCCTTATGACAATAAACAACAACAATAACAACAGAAATGTAAATGGAGAATCAAGGAGAGAAAGTTTACTAAAAGCAAACAAATAAACATTTGAAACCACAACAACTATTACTCTGGTAACACATCAGGTCTGATGGCAATTTGACTTGGCGCTCCCATTAATACTTGGGAGTGTGGTGACAGCATGGTAAAGAAAAATATATGCTAGAAGGAAAAAAAAAAAAAAAGAAGTATCTATTTAGAAAAAAAAAAAAGAAGAAGAAGAATTGCAAGAAACAATTGCAGAATCCTGTTCCTGGGATTGCATTACGGACGCAGGCGGGTTAGATTGGGCTGATTACCTTAGCTTGAAACAGAGAGTCTTTCTGCCCTGCGGGGGAGGGGACTCCTTTCAAGCAGAGCCCTCCTCTCGGATGCGCCCTCCCCTTGCATTCACTTGCAAATCGCTGTGTGCTCGCAGAAGCAAGCACTTCCCCAGTCTCTAACCTTCCCATGGCGAGTGCTGCAGCTCCATCAGCAGAACCTTTCTCTCCGTTCGAGCAAGGGCTTTTCCCCCCCTTTCCTGTCTTTCTTTCTTTCTTCTTCTTCTTTTTTTTTTTTTTTTTCTCCTTAATCAGAAGCACTGAATGAAAGCCAATCAGAGAGAGAGCTCGCCCCCGTTTTCTTCGGTTCCCTGCCGTCCAGAGTTAAAAGTGATGCTGAGAGAAAGCTTGAGTTAGATTGAAGTAGAATCAGTGATAGAAAATAATAGCAGAAAACAAACAAAAAGGGGACATAGTGACAGTTTCTCCAGGGTTATTTTGGCTGGCACCAACTTCCGCTATCCAGAAGCTCATAGAAAAAAAGGTAGGAAGACTTCACCTCTTTTCTTTAACTCCCTTAAGGTCTTTTTCTTTTCTTCCCTTGGGGGGAGATATGTTTGTTTTTTAAGTTGTATTTAACAATTATTTCAAAATAATTATGTTTAATAAACAAATAAGGATACAACTCTTTATAGCAGATTCCAGAAAAAAACTGGGAATATCTATATAGGTAATGCAAAGCTGGATAAATTATATATTATGCTCAACAGTAGATCATTTTATTAGAGTTTGCAAATTCATTCACTCTGAACAAACGCTAAAATTTTATTGTGGAGTGTAATTTGTCATGCTCATATTTGTTTATTTCAAAAATCAGTTTAAGAAGGAACATTGTTGCTGTGAACTCTAACATCACCTAACATTACTTTGCAKTCCATATGAATGGATTCACTCTGTACTTCTTCATAGTCATAGTTCATTGTATCTTCAATATAAAGAGAGATGACAGGCAGAAGAGAGATTCCTTGAAGCTGTCAATGGTCACTAAGCATCTATATATACAGTAGATTGACATTCATCAGAAATAAAATAGGCATAATGCCTATATTCACATTTTAAATCTGAGTCAGAAGTATGAGGAGGGATAGATTAAGAAGGGGGAATTAAATGCATGTAGTCAGCAGTTGCAGCATTTATTGTCTGTGCTGCAATAAAATCCATATTTTATGTGGTGTTAAATTAATGCAGCATATTGCAAGTCTAAATGCCTGTCCCCAACAAGTAACTATTGATAGCATTATAAGTATGGGTAAAAACAGGAGTCTGCAAGTGTTTTTATGCCTCCAAATAAAAATCTGCTATCTCTTTATCATTAAAAAAGGGGAGACTATAGGTACACTCAAAGACAAACATCATTTTAGTACCAACCTATCATCTTTTGCTTTCAAAAAAGCAGATCTGTTTCCTTAATTGTGGTCCTTTATTATAGTAAAAGCTTTTATTATCCAAATCTGCACATCCATTTCTTCTCAGGTTTTTAGAGGTGCATTATTTTTTCTTATTTTTTTCTCTTGAAGGATCTATATTAAAAATAATCTGTCCCTCTGATGCTGACAGCTGTTATACTTCAATGCATATGTTAGTAGACTTTCTCTCTGTACACCATCCCCCTCTCTATATTTCTTTAAAACATAGCTACAAGAGCTTCTCTGTGGTGAATAACACTTGGCAAGAGTGTGCTCATTTTTTAGGTCTGGTATGGTGAGGATTTTTAATTAGTAGAACTTTCATGAAAACATTATGTCATTGACAGAGCTGCATGTTCATTTTTAGTTAAGGTGATGAAAAAAGGAAGAGGTTAGTTACAGCCTAGAAAATTGGGTAAATAAGTTGCCCGGATAATCTCTGCCCCTTTGCACCCAGTGTAGTAAATGTGGCACATATGTATTCAATGTGCAGTGCATAAGGAAATAGGGGCTTCTGTGGGAAGGGAGGAGTGCAGGGATGGGTAAGTGAACAAATATAAACAGCCTGTGTCTGGTTGAAGGACACATCAAATGAAAAGCCACTCTGATGATAAAAATATAAAGAAATGCTCCTTTGATATGCTGTCTTTTTTTTTTTTCTTTTTTTCTTGGCTGTGTTTATAAAGTATGAGTCAATRTCTGCTTTCATTAAATCAGATACTTCTTTGGTTTCACATACTTGCTGCTAACAAATTGACTTCCCTGGTGAATGCCTTTGCCTTCTCTGACTCCAGTCAAATAATAGAATTCCATTCACTTGATGTTGGGGGGTGGAGAGAACCAAGGAAATGGGAAAACAGAATGTAAACTGTATGAGAACCCATGCATGTGTGCATATATGTTTGGGTAATGGTTAAATTACCTGTTACCTGAKTAAGGTTCCAGGTGATATTCCTTGATACTTATTAAAAAAAAAAACCTGTTTATTATGAAAAAAAATAGTACTATACAGGTTTCAGTTTAACATTTTACTGTTAGGTTTTACCTACACTGAGGTTTTCTTTAAAAAAAAATAATAAATGAATGATTTTCTGCCTAGGCAGATACACATTTTTGGCAAATTATTAAGAAAGCTCATTTAAAAAAAAAACAACAAATGATTTTTTTCATGTTAAAAGTAAAATGTTTGGAACTGAAAATGTAATTTGCAAAATGTATGAACTCTGATGAAAATAAAGGGTGAAAGTCTTGACCTCTACTGAATTCCACATYGAAACAAATAACTAAAGCAAAGTATTTGTTATCTGGGGGATTTCTTGCCATATGACTTATTTCCTATGTTTTTTAACCTACTTTGCAGCAAGTGATAGCACCATGTCCTCCTGGAATATTTCCTTTTTATACCGAATCATTCCACTAGGCTGCAGCACAGGAATAGCAGTGACTATGATGATGCTGATTCAGCAGCAAAGTGAACTATATTTTTGTTAAGTGTTATTATCAGTAACAATGTTGCACAGTAAGCAATTAATACAAATAATGGATTTAATTCAACTATATTCTAGTTTTGGGGCTTCAAAAATATTAGCCACAGTTTATTCTTATTTTTGCTATGTAATTTGCATTCTAATACTATTGCCACATTAGAATTGCTTAGAAATTACTGAAACAAAGTATGTAGAGAGAAATGTAAAAAGTAATTATGCCARTCATAACTAATTTCATTCAGATATTTCATCTGAATTTCAGGTGTAGGTTTTGAATACTATTGTTGATTTACCCAAAATATTATTTTGGAACAGGACTTTAGAAATGTCAATTTACTAACTACATTAGATTTAATAGTTCTGTCTGAAAGAGACTGAAATGAAAAATAAAGTAGCAAGAAAGACTACCTTATTCTTGTTAGATTTATACTGAACAAATGTAAAATTGACTAAGCATTGCTATAATTATAATTTTTGATACTTATTATGAATGTTTGGAGGAAGAAACCAAATTCCAAAGAATGACAATTTAAACATATAGATGAAAAATGAAATATAATATACAAAAATTTGATTTTCTATTGATAATTCTTATTTAGACCAATGGGTTCATCCAGAAAATTTTGTTTTGTCATAGTAACCTGAAACACATATAGAGAAAATATCCTAAAGTTAAATGTTTTAAATCTGTCTTTGTTGTTGTTGTTGTTCTTACTTAAAATATTTGGATCATGTTCAGAGAGCATTAATATGACACATTTTGCTTTTAATCCAATGAATTCAACACTCAAAATTAGAGATTTCTCTTATGTATATAATGAGAAAATTTTCAAAGAAAAAGCAATGCTATCAATTCAGGGTCACCTCTGTCCTCTTACTTTCTGACTCTACTGTAGCCTTACCTCACTTGACATTTTAGTATGAGCCCTTGAGCCCTTGACAGTCTAGTTGTGTTTTCTTGTTTAACTGGATGGTGCCTGAAACATGTAAGGCCATTTTGTTTTTTCCTTACCTTCCRGATAACCTCCAATCCAACTAAAATAAGACATGAGCATTGTAGGATGATCAGATCAATCACATTAAAGTTGTAGATTTCTGGGAAGGTATGATCTTTAATGAAATATTAATATTGATCAGTTAAAATAATCTGACAGGTCAGGTTTTTAAACATTGTTTTAGAGTCAACTTTTGCTTAACACTTTAGTAGCAATGTGACTTCTTGCAAAAAGTAATATAAAATTTAAGAATAAAATGCTTTTTTAAAAACCAATTTATTTTTTTGTTTTGTTTTGTTTCTTTGCTGCAGTGTGATGTCTTATTCTCTATTCCTCTTTATGACTAAGAAACACTTGTCAAACATATTAACCATATTGGAAGTAGGATTAAGAAAAAGAGAGAAAAAAAACTGCTAGTTGAATGAAAATGGGTAAAATAAAATCACTTTTTACATCATTTTAGCTTGTAAGGTTCCTTGAAAACGCTTGCTTGTGGGAGGTTRAAATACCTTCATGTGACAATCCCTCTCAGTAAAGAGATCCATATCCTTCAAGAGTTTATCAGTAGGTTTTAAAGCACTTTATCAAATCATGTGATCTCAATTTCAATACCTTTTTTTTTCTTTTTTAGAAAGCAGGCTTGATTCTACAAACTCTGTATGATGCAGTTATGTAAATTAAAGTTAAATGACATTTTAAGCTTCAGGACAAGATTAAGCAATAGGCCATAAGATAGAATACAATACTTTCTCACAACAGGAAATTCAGCATTAAATAACATGTCTAAACACTTCAGAATCCTATTTGTCTTCATAAATGGAACAGTAAGATTTTTTTCTCTCTCCCTTCTCCTTTTTATTCCTCCTCCCTCTCTCCCTCTTTCCTTTGCTTCCTCATTTGTGACAATTACAAAAGTACTTAAATAAATATTTCATGTGCTTTTTTATATTGCCCTATATCAATAATATTTCTGTAAATCTTGTGTTTTTATGACCAGTATTCTAACGTCTGCCACATTAATACACTKCATTTATTGCATTATGCTTTGCATCATAGCATGAAGTATTTGACAGTTCAGTTGGCTAAAGTGTGTCTTTAAAAATGAAAGCGATTCTTATTTATAACATTGAGGCTTCTGAGAAGTTGAAATTGGCACCAATATAGTTGATTGCACTAGCAAGGAAATATGGAATCCAGCATTTATTAATGGAATTTCTTCTGCAAATAATCAAATTGTAGACTGCATAGGCATGAATTATTATACTCAGTGCATCAGTTATTGATTGTGTATCTGTGTTGATTTTCTGTATGAGAAAGTATTTAAGTAGTTTGATGGAGCCTTGATTTTAAATATAAATCAAATATAAATTTCGTATTTTCAGAAAGCAGTGGTTCATTAGACATGTGGATTTTTCTTTATTGTGAAAAAGAAATACACCAGTTTTTAATCTAAGAAAAAAAACTGATATGTAGGGAAAGATGTCTACTCTTAGTATTGTGGAGTAAAGAACTGGCTCCTGATTTCCAATTAAAAACTTGGGAAATGAGTTGGAACAATAATCAGGTTAAGTAGAACATGTTGCAAATTAAAATAAT